CCGTCCAAACACAATCCATTGAGCGACTACCGAATCTCAACAGAAACAAGATAACACAGTTACAGTCATTGTTCAACAATAACATACACTGCCATATATACACATGGAAATTAGATAAACACGACCCGCATATTCTCAGACAGAGCAACTTTAATGAACTGTTGCATGTAATGTGTAAATGATTACTTTACCAAATAAATTATTTCGTGGAAGGAAAAGGTTCAGGATAAACACAGCCAAGACTACCTTGAAATAAAACGCTTTATTTGAAGATATTACAGATTTGGTAAATTATTTAATTTCATTATAAACATTACAAATGTCACTTTTGTTGCACAGACGTAACTGTCAGTAGTATGCACATATCTGGTTCACGGAATTGAAGAAAAATGTCCTGCAAGTCCAAATATTGACTTTCCATCAGTATTTTGTCTATCCTCTCTGAATCCTAACAACTGTTTCAAGGCACCTTCTCATTCTTTGGATCAATCTCTGGATTTGATTCTGAGAAATTCTGTTTCTTTCCTCGTGGAAATCAGCAGTCATTTCATTAAGAGTATGGACAGGTTGGTCTCTTTCTCGAACACAACGACCTAAAATGTCCCGCAGATGTTAAATGGGACTGAAATCCTGACTCATGGCAGGTCATGGAATGGTCTAAACAGCATTATGTTAGAAGAACTGAGCGACAGCACATGCTCTGTGAGGCTTGGTCCTGTCATCCATGAAGGTGGGTCTTGTGGCTAGAGGATGATTTTCAAAATGGGGAACATCTCTCTCATGGATCTTCTGTTGATAATGAGGCCCATTAGAGTTACCACGAATGCTGATGAGGTCCATCCTGCAACCCAAGGAAATGCATCCCCATACCATGACGGGCCCTCCCACAAAGGGAACTGTCTCCTGGATATTGAGGGGAACCATGGCTGTGTCCCTTTGTCTTCACACACGTGTACAACCATCCACCATATGCAATAAAACCGACTCTCACCTGAAAAGTGAATCCTCCATGAAGCAATGTTCTAACGAACACGTTGATTACTTCAGGCAAGTGGTGCTAATTTGTGATCAGGAGCGATTGAATACACTGTATGGGTCTTCTGGACCTGTATCCTTTCAGCCGATTTCTGACGGCTCTGGTACCACTGTTGCTTTAAAGATGTTTTGGAGTCCCATGGACGGCACCTACCAAGACTCAACAATGCTCTATCATCTCTTCTTGTTGTCTTATGGGGTCTGCCAGGTCTTAGACGATCTTTCACACTATTGGTAGCCCTCGGTCTTAAAATGATGTAAGGATTGCGCCCAAGTTGACGTCCAATTTGTCTGAAGGACACTTCTGTATTGCTCATGCCACTAAGTTGCCATCTTGTTGCCTCTGACAACTGACTGTGTAACATGACTATTAGGTTTGTGAATACGCACTACCAACTGAAAGGAGACAGTGTGGCGTGTAATGATCTCAAGCTTGACTTCAACAATGTTGTTGGTTTGACATTGTCCGTGCCTTGCGTCTCATTGCACGTGCATTACATGTCTCTAGCTGTTTTCTTAAGTTACAGCATTATCGGTCTATGATTTTGGTGTTACTTAATATCCATGTGTATAGTTAAATTCATGCATTATATTCTTTCTTTGTCTGGTACAATGGGGCCAACTCGACTCAGTATTACTTGTGACATGCTCAAATCTGCCTGCGGTGTTCCAATAAATGCCTCATGTTATCTGATAACTTACCATGGGCTGGCTGTAATATTAAGCCTATTGCGAACACTGTAATACATTTTATCTTATTTACGGTCTCTCCCGACTTGGCTCAACACCCACATTAGTAGTGGAGTAATGGTATTTTACAACACAACAGATTCAACTGACAGATAGACTCCAAGAGTCAATTGCACATTTTGAAGAAAGTGAAATGGATGCGGATGGCTTTATCCTTCTTTTGTCTTCACATTTCATGAAGCCCACATGTTATGTCCGTGCCTTAAACTGGTACTTTGTTATGCTCATTCTTTACCAAAAAACATAATTTAACGCATATGTTGAGGGAGCATAAATAACTCTTCAAAAAACGAAAATTACATCAGGATTGCAACTTGGTTTATTTTTTCAAGTTTATATTTCATAAATATTATAAATAGTGGAAGGTATGGGTAAAGACGTCTGTGGTAGGTGGGAAGTCAGTAATGATTATGACCTCCTCAAGGTGCTATCACCTTATGACAGTGTTCTGTCCATGGGATGTTCTGCCACTTCTGCTCTAGCACCACAAACAGTTCCTGAAGTGTCTGTTGCGATGGTTGACGTTTACGAACCCGACGATCCAGCACGACTCACAGATGTTCCATAGGGGACTATTGGGCAGGACAGGGTAGCGTAGGCACGTTATTCAGACGCAGAAACTCTGTGGAAACACATGCGACGTGGCGTCAGGCATTGTCCTGCCGAAAGATGCCGCCATTGACGGTGATGAAGGGGTCAAGGTGGCGCTGCAGGATCTCGTCTCAGTAGCTTTGACCATTCAGAACACCATCCACTCTCACAAGTGCTTTCCTGCCTCCATGATGAATGCCTCCCCACACCGTAAAGTTCGTTACATCGTCAGTACACACGGGTGTACTCCTGGCTAGAAAACTGTCTGGTACGACAATTTCAAAAAGTCTGGTCCCTGTACATGTGCCTGTTGGTATCGCCACTATGAAACGGTCCCACAGGTGTCGTTCTGGATGTAGCGATCTTCTTACACGAGGTCGTCCTGACCTTGGCCTGACACGAACGTTGCCGGTGACGTTGTAACGTCTCCACAAGTTAGAGACGGTCAATCTGGTCGCACCCATCACCTGCACTACATGCTTAGGTGTTTCACCCCCTTGCAGTCAGCCGATGGCGTTGTCGTGTTGTGCTTCTGATAGACGCGGCATTTTAGCAGATCATTTTCTAATTTTGTGGTGTGTGTGTCAGTGGTCATTGTCATTTGCATCGTGCCTGACAATTTCAACCATGACATTATATTATGACCATTAGGTTTACTGCAATGATGGTAATACTGAAAGGGGTTTATGCCACTTTTGGCAAAATTCCAGCAACACTGTCAGGAGGAAGACCAGAAATGGGCTTCAGATATTGTACATATTTGAACGAACCCGGGACGAGCGAGTACAGTAAACTACGGTTATAACTCAAAGGGGCCACTTATTTTAGTTTGTTATAACCATAGTTCGTCATAAGCATAAACAAGAATATATACGGCAAATGGCCACAACCAAGAAATAAGTTTGTAATATCAGTCAGTTCGTTATTATCATGTTCGTTATCAACATATTTTACTGTACTTAAATCATGTGTTGTCACTGCAATTTCAAGCAGTCGACGTCAAAAAGGCGCTCGCAGCAAAGATCACTTATTTGCGATGCACTCGGGGCTTGCTATATCGCCCATATCTGAGAAGTAAGACGAAATTCAACGCCAGAATATAAAGCCACAGAGAAATGCACAGTCAACTGAAGATCGTTTACATGGTTTTCACGAAGAATTCGAGAGAACAACCAAACAGTTATTCAAGTTGAAAGCTGGTAAGGATTTTGTGTGGAAACGAGAAGGTTGTCAAATTCAACACTACTTCAATATGGAGACTTTGGACAATATGGAACAGTTAAAGTTTGCTTTAGAGATTAAGAAATACGACTACAGGGCGGAGTTTGTTGAAACGGGAAAAGTTATCAGATTGAGCAGAGAAACATGCTTATTACAACTGCCGATGCGTCGGAGGATGGATGGGAGATGGGAGATGTAAATAATATACTCAACAACAAAAGTTCCTGTGACACCAATATTTTAGTGTATTATTCAAACAAGTAAGCAAGTAAAGTTTGGTTTTCAATATTGTAGTACATGAATGGAATCAAGAACCAAAAACGCAACTGGTACAGAAAATTTAACGTCCACAGAAACACCATTTGATGTTTATGGCAACGTAGGCAACAGACGAATGCATCCTCAGATGGGCAGGCCACGCGTAAGCAATAATGGACAAGACAACTGCATTCGAACAACACACCTACGAAATCGATTCCATCCACCAACAAGTTTTTTTCACTGACGAGTTTCGTTCTCACCTCAGCCACAGCGATGAACGGATTCGAGTGTTCCGACGTCGAGGTGAACGCTACGTCAATCATTGGGTCATGGAAAAAGATCGGCTCGGGGACGCCAGCGTTATGGTATGGGGTGGGATTACAGCAAGACAAAGGACCCGTTTGATAGTGGTAGAGGGAAATCTCAATGGACAGTGCTACCGCGACAAGATCATCGGCCCTGTTGTTCTACCGTTTTTGTGTCGTCATGGCCCAGGCATTACCTTTCAAAAAGACAACGCCCAGCCTCATATTGCTCGACTTGTTCAGCATTCTCTTCAACAAAACAACGTGAATGTCATCCCGGGCTGGCTCGCTCCCCTTTCACCAATCGAGAACATGTGGGATGAGATGGATTGGCGCCTTTGACGTCAACCACGTGTTCCACAGACACTCCAGGAACCTCGAAACATGCTCCAGCAGATATGGACAGATATCCCACAGGACTTTGTGCGATGACTTGTCCATTCCATGAGATGACAATGTGTTGCTTGCATCGCAACCAGAGGTGGACACACACTCTATTGATTTGTAAATTGACATTTGGGCACGTTCATGTTTTTTTGTTTTTTTTGTTTAATGAAATCACACATTTTCTGAAGTCAGTATGGCAAATGAAACCATTTAATACTTACAGGAGTCTTTTATATGTTGCAAACCGAAATTGTTTCAGATTTGGTAAAAAACATAACTTTGCATTAAATCTTATTCAATGTCACAGGAACCATCGTTGTTCCGTACATGTTTCATGAGGTGACGACAAGTTAATTAGACGATCAGGAAATAAAGCTGTCAAGAAAACAAATTCCACAATGGGGCACTCTGCACGCAGTCCGTGCTTTAAACCATACGGTAGTCGTGCTCCTAGTGTCTCTTCTGCAGAGCCAGCAGCTTCTCCATGTTGATTAGGCTCTTTTGGCAGAACTCATCAAGTGGGGCGTGCTTCTCAAGTGGAGCATCCTTTTCAAACGTCAATGCCGGATCTCCAGTCAAAAACAATCCGCTCAGATTACGGGACGAGGAGGAGGATCTGCCCGTCAGTAACGTAACTGACTGTCAAGTTGCTTTTTGGCGTCGTATCGGATATTCACACCATGTTTATACTGAGGAAAATGGATAAAAAATTCTGATTTATTTAGCGCCGTCCAGTATGGATATTTCTGTAACAGCAAGTCCGCCAGATTGCAGCAAGATTTTGTATCTGATGATGTGTCACATGTATTAAGAAAGGCTTAGTTGTGCAGTGTAATATATTGCCTACATTGTTAGTCCTTTCTCAGTGTCTAGACAGCATGAATGTAAAACATCGGTGAAATATGAAGATTGGAAGACAGCCATGATGTATATATAGATGTGTCTCGTGAATTATCATGTTTCCCTTACCGAGCGAAGGACATTTTTTTATGAGTGGCGCATATTTTTCATGAGAGAAACATGATATTTCACGAGACATATCTATATATATATCTTTAATATGATGTGAACGTGCAATGTCGATCACTTCGAGGTGGACCATTTAATGTTTACGTGTAGAGCTTCCTGCCTCTGACTTGTACCAAGATAATATTAACAATCAGTCTGTCTTTCTATATCTTAGATTCGAATATGTCTGTTAATTAGCATAATAAACAGAATGACAGTCAAAACTATTGTTTCGTCGTAAGTGCCCTGCTAATTCGCCATGACACAGTCGATGAATATATGTAATTCTTGAGCTAAAAACTTCTGACTAAACATGAGTTGTCTTACACCAATACCTGTACAGTTGGAACAAAAAATCTTTCTGACCAGTCTGATCAGATTTCCTTTTCAAATTGGTTGCCCGATACCAAAATACTTACGATTTTGTCACTGTTGAAAAGGGACAGTTTTACGGGACCATATATGGCACTAAGGTTGTGTGTGCAGATGTGCCGCCCTGTGCCGCCCTGCGAACTATCGGCAGAGAAAACACCTGGTACCTTTATTGTAATAAGGCCTTGGCTGCAAAGTAGTACACAACAGTTGTTGTCTGTTTCACGATTAATCATACACATATGACAGAAAATTAACACAGAATAATAATCACGAGATGCGATGATTACATACCAATCGCACGAACCCTCTATAATTCGATTGTCTTACCTTATCATGAGACGTTACAAACACAACAATTGACAAAATGTCCCAAAGCAAAACATTTATCTTTAAATACAACAAACATGTCCATCTTAAAACTGAAATATACTGAACAGCATTGAAAACGCACCAGCAATAAATCTTGAAATATTACAAAAACAACTTGAGCAATGACCGATTTTGATTAGAACAGACATAGACGGATTATTAAGAAAGATGAGAAAAAAAAAGGAATACCACACAGTTATTACAATTACGTCATCAGTGTAAGGAAGACACGTAGGGTTAAAATGAAAAGTCAATATCTGGTATGTCCGCCCTTGACAGCAACACAGGCCATGCAACGTCTTCTCATTGATCGAATAAGTCTGCGAATAGTGTTTGAATAGTGGGGCATTCCACTCTTGACGTAGTGTTTCTTCAAGTTCTCTCAGGTTCTGTACTTGCGGACGCGGTGAGAGGCGTTGACCCAGGTAATCCCATAGATGTTCAATTGGCGATCGATCGGGTCACAGGGCTGGCCATGGAAGCAGAGGCACATTATTGTTCGATAGGTACTGTGTTGAAACACGTGCTGTGTGCGCTCTTGCATTATCTTGCTGGAAGGTGTGCATATCCTGGTGCTGATGAAAGAACGTCGAGCACGTAGCCCTGTTGAGCGGAGACGTCGACGTATGGTGTCAGCACTGATCAATTACGTCGGCCTTGTACGGTTGCTGCAGTCCTGGTAGCCGGAAGTGTACGATCACAAAGATGCCGACGAACAATATGGCGAACCTGACGTGGTGTAGTTACACGACGTTGACCCAGATTTGGTCGATCTATGGTGGTTCTTGTCTGCTGGTATCTGCTCAGTAGCCTGAGGACTGTTGAATGATGGCATTGAAACCGTTGTGCAACGACTCTACTTGACGTACCAACTAGAAGCATGCCCAAGGCACGTTCACGTTCCTCTGCTGTTAATCTTGGCATGTCTTGTGTCAGTACCCTTTACGCCTGCAGCAACAAGTGATGTGGCTTTTAAAAGTCTGTCTTTTGTAGCCCTATTCTGCATGCTTCCGGTAAAACAAAACACGTTTTCCATGATGTACACGAAATTTGTTGCGTTTTGGCGATCTACAGTTGATGTTGACTTTCCTCTGTCGACAAGATCCGCCTTACATCCGTCATTTTCCCATCCCTGCTGGTGACATAGAGACCATGGTGATTGAGTCCTTGTAACGCAAAGTAAACCCTGTATACATTCCAACATCTCCGTCATACATCTACATTGTTCACACCTCAAAGTGTTGACACAATGGCATACCGTTCTTGCTTTATGAAATTAATTCTTCGTTGAAATATCAACATGTCTTGTTTTTGCATCAGCTATATAAGGGTTCAGCATGCAAATACACTGATTCATAGGACCATATCCAATAAACATTAACATTAACTTGACCAGTAATCTGAAAAAGAGATTGGTCCAAATGGATAGTGGAATATATGAAATGCCAGTTACCTCACTTATTTTACTTGGCTTCATTGGCAGAATATTTGAAATGCATAAATATATGAAAAATAGGTGCAATTCTTTCTATCTATGAATCACGTCAATATTGTTGTACTAAATGTACATCAATGTTCACTGAGTGACTGATAAGTGCAATGTATTAAGTTTTTGGCATTTTTTTAAAAGTTGGATCGTTTGAGCCTCACAATAGCTACATAGAAAAACACTTCCGTTCATCACAACAAATCTTGCCCATGCTGTCAATCACAATATGACAATTATATTGCTGACGAAGTGGAAAACTAACAGCTGTTTGGGGATTACGCCCTCTGATGTATGTTAATATGCATGACATAGACATTAGTTTGCCCAAACCTGAAACCTAAGGGGTATGTGCATTTAGCAGGTTAGGGTTTGATATATTTATTCAAAATACATTAATCACTGTCATATATTTCTGCCTCGTTTTTTGTTTGTTGTTTCTTGTTGTTTTTTTGTGTGTATTTTTTCTGTTTTGTTTGTTTGTTTTTTGGTTTGTTTTTGTTTTTTGTTTTTCTTGGGGCGGAGGGGGCTTTTGAGCCTTCCCTGCTCATTTCCGTCACCTGAAATTGCATACAGTCATCCTGTTCATTAGTGTAAGTCTACCAAAGTGGAAAAAATAATACATCTGCGTTATGTCTATTCATGTTTAATATACAGACAAATTGTGTTAATTTCACAATTATTTACGCAAATACTTTATACATTGCATAAAACCCCATTGTCGCCTTCATAAGAAAAATATTATTTAAAAAATAGGTTTCTACTTATAACTCACAAATTTCTTGATGTAAAATTATTTACGTAATTAAATGTGTAGGACAGAGTAAATATGACAAGATATAATGCATATTTAATTTTAAGTTCCAAACATATGGCTGGTTTATTGAGTACTATAAGTACTATAACTAAAAGAATAAATAGATACAATTTACTAAAACAAATTTCACACAAATATGTGCATAGCATAGATTTTCCAAAGTTCATCCTCCAAATCTTGCCTAATCTAATGCCTGTTCTAATGATCACAGGCACTGTTTCCATGCTGTCGGATACCAGAAAATCATGGCAAGTTGGATAATTTGGCCTTCCTATTAGCAGTTGCATCTTCATAAATAATCTAGCATCACACAAACAAGAAACACGTCCTCCGTAATCATAAAACACTGTCCACTGAGACTATAAATACACGTCTGAACGATAGTGCCGCAAAGATTTGTCATAAACAGAACCCACCAACGAACGGTTGCCATTCAGAAACCTTGCAGGAATGAAAAATAACAGGTCATATTATTGGGAAATAAGCCAACAGCAGTGACAACCAAGGGTGGTAGTATACTTCGTCCTGTCTAGCAAAGTTAGCTTTGGCAGTCGCGCATTTCGAAAGCAGAACTAGTTCATGAGGCATGTCATCGGAAATGGTGGTAACGGAAGGAGCGCTTCACGGGATTCGGATTCCTATTCTGACATCTTGAAGGTAAGATCATTTCATCCTTTTTGTCTGCTTTGATATATACAACTTTTTGGTAAAACTATTGTAGATAATACGTGTTTTTGTTGTCGAATTTAATTGTAAGGATTGAATGTGGATAATGTTTGGTTCATTGAGGTATGATGTGCTACGCAAATTCATACAGTTTGCACATCGCTTTTTCCAATCTGTACCTAAATGTACCGGAAACAAATTAACAGTCAATCCTTTATTACATTTCAGCATGAATAATTTGTACATATTGAAAACAACTCCATAGAAAAGGATATATTCTGTCTTGGTTAACTCCGTGGGCCACCTGGCACTAAGGGCGTGTGTGCAGATGTTAGGTTATACACCCGGCAATGTGCCGCCCTGCGAACTACCGATATCGGCAGAGAAAACACCTGGTAACTTTGGTGTAATAAGGCTGCAAAGCAGTACTCGTGACGTCATCAATAGTGTGACGTCACCAACATTGTACATTTGCCGCCACACCTGCTGGGGGAACCGCTGCTCCTTCGGAGGTCACAAAGTGTAGCGAGATGTTAACCAACAGTTTTTTTCTGTTTCACGGTTAAGCATAAACTTATGACAGAAATTTACCACAGAATAATAATCACGAGATGAGATGTTTACAAACCAATCGCGCGAACCCTCTATAACAACACTCAGTAAACGATTGGTTTCCCTGATCATGAGAAGTTACAAGTTACGCTGATGTCCCTGACGTCTCGCCCAGCCGACCGCTCTCCACCCGCCCTTGGTCCTTGCGTTAATGTCCACCACGTTCAGAGGCAGGATAAACTTCACCGTCTCCATGTGTCCTCCTTGACAGGCCCAGAAAAGGAGGTTGCTACCCCCAGAGCCCACCATTGATACATCCGCGCCTTTTTTCACAAGGAGCTCCAACACTTCTTTGTGTCCTCCGTATGCTGCCCACATCACCGGCGTCTTGCTGTACCTTCCAAATCTACAGTTGATGCTGATCTTGCCTGTGGACAGGATCCGTTTTACATCCGTCATTTGCCCATCCCTGCTGGCGACATAGAGGTCTTGGCAGCCTGCTGGTGATAGAGTAGCTGTAACGAAAAGTAAACTCTGTTCACTTCCAGACATCTTTGCCATACAACAACACTGTGACACGAACATTTCTATGTCATAAAACACTTCCAGCATGGCTGACAATAATCAAACTATTAAGGGGACTGACGACAGCTGGTTCATGTAAGTAAGGATTATGTATTTAATGTTTAACATTGTTTCTGTTACATCCAGTAGTTGTAACATTATAGTGTATATGTATTCATAGTTAAGATGTACATCCGGCACTTGACTAGACAGATTTAGAATGTTCTCATATATTCTTCCGTCTCAGGTATAAATTCTAATCAGTTCGAAAGATGAAACTTTCAAGCATACATTTTGCAATATGGTGATAAAACAGAAAAAGCCTATCGGTTGAAACGTCCTGTTGAAACGTTTGCATCCAAAAGAATGATCATTCCCGGTGACAGGCTAAACAAACGTCTGGGTGTAAACATTGTGTGAAGCAAGCACCTGATTCCTACAACATTCTTCCTGTACACCAATCCTACTATATGTACAATTTCCTAAATGATCTTGAAAGTAGAAAGTAACTGATTACGTCCCAACACGAGCGACACACCTCACTGCCAGTCATGAAATACCTTGACTGTCGACACTACGACCGCAAAGGTGCGAGCTATGACGTCACTATAACATGTCAGGAGCCTGGCATAGTGTCGTGCTTGACTGCCTATAACCAATAAACTACTAGAGATGTTACTGCAGAGCTACTGTCTATCCAGACGCCACTCTAAGGTTACTGCAATGTGGTGTGTGTAATGTACAATTCTGACTAATAAATGTATGTTTTCATGATATGTCCACTTTGTTTATTAATGTCTATACAGTATATTTTTTTCTCATCGGATGCCACATTGGTTTCAAAATAACCAAATTATTTTTTTAAATTTAAACATCACTAGGAATGATAATTAAGTGAAAATATTCTTAGTTGTATTATGTGTACATTTCAGGAACATCATGTCCTGACGGTTTTATGGAAACCGACCTTGTTTCCTTACAGTCTAAATTTAAGAGTACTACATTTTCAAAGCTATTAACCTTATATGAAAAAAATAGTGACAAATGTATGCAAGAAAGTTGTCATATTCAGAGGGAATGAGTGGAAAATACTCTTTGAACTGTTCGTTTTAGGAATCTGACCCGTCGCGATATGACTGGACGCAATGAGTGGTCAAGTTGATTGTGTGTTACCCGACTCATACGACAAGGGTTGGTTTTCAACAACAATGGTCATACATGACCTGTATATGTATGATTGATCCCGATTCGATTATTGTCGGGCACAAGGAGATAGCCTCAATACAGTTGATTTGGTGATAGAACATCGTTCGATCACTTACTGGTACAGATATGTTCATGTTAAATGTAATAGATTTACAAACAAGGAAACAGCGTTATCACTGTCCCCCGCTATGGGGCTCATCAGAATTTTGTTTCTTCATGGAGTAGTAAATATAGACCTGAAGAAGAGATGGGGACTTGGGCCGCTTCATAAGAAAAACATATTATGAAATGTTAAATTAATACAGCCAAAAGGCCTTCTCTGGAAGCATGCACACTTACATTCATTTCAGTCTGAGAAAACTTGTCCCTAGTTTGCATTGAAAAGCACAGAGCAAGGGCCATAACCCAGTCTTGATATCATGCAAACTTACATTCAGGTAACTGAAGTAGTTTCGATTTCACTCAGTATGTACCAACTTCAAAAGCACGGATCAAGGGATATTACTCTTTAAAAAATCAATTTACAACACCATTTTTTCAAACTCATTTGAGGTCGATGCCAGAAACATCAGGGTGTAAAATATCCTTTCCGTAACCTTAAATAGTTTTTTTGAGAGAATTTGTTCCCTTTGAGAAGCGGGCAGACTTCGTGGCGCGTGATGATAATATATTTTCATTGACTCAAACAAGTGACAGGTGTCTGATTAACTACATCTTGATTTGATGAGTTCTTTTGCGTAGTATTCATGCAGTAAGGAATCAAGGAAAGAATACGAAACGTGAACCTGTTCTGTAATCTTGGCAATCAATGTAGCAATAGAGTAAAAAAATAAGCAGACAAGGTCTTATCTCAGATAGCGTGTCTTGATTGATGTTCAATGGTTTGGAGCCTCCACTCCAGCTCTAATGTGACTGAAGTGATAGACACAGGATTAAACTGAACACCGTACACCTCTCTGCGTGAGACACCACATACCTTGCACACCGATGGCTTTTCCAGATCCACTCTCCAGACATGCGAAGGTCCGATTGCAGACCTTGGATGCAGATGGTTTAGTCAGGACCTTCAGACAGCAATAAAAAGAACCTTGTCAGACAAAGTGTATATCTGTGATTTCTATCAATATGAAGTGGTGTGGTCGATATAATATTTCAAACTTTGTATGTGAGATCTCTAGTAATGTAGGCCTTGTGTCATTAAACCAAAGATGCAACGTAATGCCCCTGTAAACAGCTTCATGGAAACAATTATTCATGCTTTACTGGTCAACATCATGCATTGACTATGAAGTAGGGAGTAGAATAAAAGCGACAACATCTTTTCCATAATCATAAGAAGAGGCCACTATACCATTCCGACTATTTCATAAGCAGTATTCGGCCAGTGACCATTGAAGTAATAGAATAGTGTTCGTTATTACTTATAATAGCTACCATTGATAGAATTACCATGAAAGCATGTTGTCAAGCAATGTGCTGGTAAGTGTGAGTTAATAGTACTTATATTTTGCCTAACGATGGGCCTATCTTGTCACTCAAGACACTGGCTGTTACTCTCAGTTGCTGATTTTGGTGATAAATGGAATCTCATCCTCATGTTCTTGATATTAAATATATCAATACTTGCCTAAAGAGATCCATATATTATCTGTTTTGTCTGTCAATCACTGCGACAAATCTGAAAACTCGAACAGCTCACAAATTGTCTCTCTCAAATATTGGCGAACTGTTGTTCGATTGTTTGAGGGATATTCGGATGCTAAATATAAATTCTATCCAATTTATCTATTTCAAAGGTAATGCAATTTCTCAGAGCACTTCCATTTGCAGAAGCCAGATGTCTGTTAAGTTGCTGTCTTCGGAAGACAGCGGGCTTCTGCCAATCATAATCCCCTGAAAAAGAGCCTTAACCTTATATTTGTTCATGAATACATTCAGCTTGCGTATTCAGCACTATCATAAATGACATATAGTTATGACATGTTTATAAATTTCATCACTGTTTTGCTCAACGACAAATTTACTGAAAACATTTTGTCTTGTAGGCTTTGGTTTCACCCAAAAGTACTTTATTCAATAAGTTGGAATTGAGTTATATTCAGTGTGGATCCTGTGATCCTAGCTAAGATCAACACACCGTCACACATCTACACACACTTGACATAAACATAACTTACAAGGGAACGATTTTGAGGACGGACACTGAATCCGCCCGTCTCATTGTTCTTTGATTTACGACAGGATGCAAAAATAAAGCTCTCTCGGCAGTAAAGTTGGCAAAACTTGATATCAATATTTCTTAAAGTGGTAGATGTGTCCTTCATTTTCTCCGTCATTTCAAGTCCGCATTTCTTTGTGCTGCATGTGGAAAACACACACATGATGTAAACGGTTGCTGTTCAAGCCATGTGCAGACTGTAACTTGAACACAACGGCATCATCTTCAGCTGTTGACAGAGGAGTGCTGGTTACATAAACACTGGACAAAATATCATCCATTCCAAAAAATCCAAAACTTGGAAATACCACCATTCCAATTGGAAATATGACCATTCCAATATTTGGAGAGGTCAAATTTCCAAGCTTGGATGTGTTTGGATTTGTTTTTTGTTTTTTTAAATGTTTGGATACAACATGTCATAATCATATCTGTTAAAAGTTGTACAACTTTTGACCTTATGTGAGATTAGTAATGACAAGAAAGTAAATACTTAAGAGTATGTTGGCACTATGTAACACGAAAAGACCAAATCATGAGCAAAGTTAACTAAAAGAAATTCTGTCATTTAAAGTGGCTACTCTTTATGTTTAATTTCTTATCTTCCTTGTCTATAATCATATGACATTGACTTTGAACTTTGAACAACTAAACAAATATTTTGTTTTCCCATACCGACTTACGGTTGTCGTACAACAAAGACCGTTTCGAGAATATAGAGGGCCTCATTATTATAATTTGAACTAATATACATATGTACATAATAGTACTAGGTATAAATGAATTTTGATAAGTGTTCGTACAAGAATATGAACTTCGAATTATCTCGGAATTATGCTCAACACATAGGGCTGAAAATTTTATAATTGTTCTGGAACTATCTGACGGTAATTCAAAACAGGGAACAAGATTTCATCAAATGAATCATTGAGCCAGGAATGCAACGATTTAAATGCTGACAAAATGAATAAACATATCTGGAACAGAGTAGACTGTTCATGTGGACAATTATATGCTACGTCTATTGCCAATGAAGTTTATCACCCCATGTTATAGCATTTGTTTCATATAAAAGATAGAAACCAAATAAATGGGACAATTAGTTGTTATGAATTAGCTTTACCTCTGTGGCATATCACACAACTAATGTGAATATGTTTATCAAATAATCAATTACAGTAATTAACCTAGTGTCCTTATTTATACACAATTTAATTACGTATTGGGGTACAATATATAATACACATATACACGGAATGATTTCTTATTTTGTCAATTTAATCATAACCCAAATCATACAAATCAAAGTGTGAAAGTAGTGACCAACTTTATGATCAAGGGTATAAATACTCAATTGTATCTATTAATCCTAATAGTATAACAATAAACCCTGTATATATACTGAGCATATTTAGATACATCCGGATCTACGACCGCAGCCATATAATCAACAAGGAAAGTATATTAGATTGAATTACAAATGTGCTATCACTTAAACAAATTTTCCGTTATCCACGTAAGCCTAAACCTGGGAGAAATAAAGTTCTGTTCTGTTCTGAAGACG